TTCTTTGGCGTTTCCCTGCACGTATCCCCAAGGATCGTGTTTGCTAATGCTGCTCTATACCCACCTCTTCAGATGGTTCTCTGTCACTGCTCCGAAGTCCTTTCTCAGTCTAGTTGCTTTAAGACACAGGAAGATTGGAGTACATCTTCATTTAAGCACTAGGGAAAAGCCACGGACTAACTTTGTGCATTGAGATAAATTCTTCTGGCTTTCCTCACCAATATCATGTTTGTTTGCCTTGGTGCCACTACAGCATGCTCACATGCTGCATTACCTGTCATCTGAATCTCATGCACATCAAAATCCTCAAAGCCCTCACTTTAAATGTAGCAGCATTCTTAACTCGCACTCGCTTCTCACATGTAGCATATGCTGCCCAGCAGCTGAGGGAACCGGCATACAAACACTAATGGGTTTGGCAGGAGGCCACGTATGAGATGATAGTCCTTTGCCTTGGTGCTGCCTTGTTCTTTAGATAGGTCATATCACTTTTTTTTTTTTTTTTAAAAAAAAGCTGCAGATGCAAGTGGACTTGCATCTCACCACCCATGTTCTCAGCCCGGACTGTTCCTTGGACATATCTTTACCTGCCGTTTCCACTACAAGATGCTAACCCGCAGCTCAGTGAGGAGACAGTAATGAGCCTGCAGCCAGGGGCCATATATCAGAACATACAGCCACTCTGTCATTGAAGTGTTGTCCTGCATGGCTTCTCTCAGTCATATCGGTTCCTTTTAGCTAACTTATGTCTGCTGCTGACATTACTCAATTTAGCCTGAAAGTTTGGCCATGGAAACTAAAGCATATAGTAGAAAAAAAACCCCAACTCTCTAACACTTCTCCATTTAAAGTGACTTGAGATCTAGTCCTTTTTCGGAACAGGTACGCAAAGAGACAAATAGCACCTGAAAACGGGCCTCTAGAGGTTTCTTTGATTTTCCCCTCACACTTTTTCCACCTCTTGGTGTGCACCAAGAAAAGATGAAACTCCACATACAGGATCTCGATAGTGCAGAGTGCAGTTATTAGATCCTCAATTCCTGTATCCCTACACTAAGCAAGAGAGCAGTTACACTACACGCTGTGAAAAGGGGTCAAAGGGAAAAAAAAATTGCAAGTTTTCATAAGGAAGAGTGATTTAGCTGTGAGTTACTTTTCATGAAATAGTGTACTGTCTTAATTCACAATTTTGAAAATTTTTCTTAAAACAAGCACAGAAGTTGTATTCCGTTTAATTATTAGATTTCTGAAACTATAGGAGCTGAAAATAATATTTTTGTTTGCTGGAAACACTTTTCCTTCCTACTCCTTCCATTTTGCTATTTGTTCACAAAAATTTTAAAATGAGTTACTTTTTTTTCACCAGTTCAAGCCAAATACTGCTTAAACATTTACACTGATTTTTTTTCTCCCTCCTCAGAATGACTCAGTGGTGTCAGCTACAGCAACTTGATTCCAAGTTTTTGGAACAAGTTCACCAGCTATATGATGACAGCTTTCCTATGGAAATCAGGCAGTACCTGGCACAGTGGCTGGAAAACCAGGATTGGTAAGCACAGAAATTGGCCTTCAGGTTGTGAGATAAGCAATATTCTCATACATGCAGTTCCAGGCAGCAGAAGAATAGTGGGGAAGCAAGCTGCTAGGTGAACCTTTGCTGGTAGGATGCTTAAGTAGCTGTGTGGGTGCTACAGGCTGTGTTCCTGCCCCTCTTCAGGGCTCTCTAGAGGGGCCTGACATGTAGAGTAACAAGTGCACTATCTTAAATTTCCCTTGGTTGGTCTTTAACTAAAGTGGCTGTTTTAAGACCAAACAGTTTCGACTGTGGTAGCTCAATCTCTTGCTGTTTGAACATGGCAAGAATAATGCAAAGAACAACATTTCTGTATCAAGGAAATTAAAGTCAGAGTTTAGAGCTATGAAACTGGCTTATGTTCGAAGGCAATTCTTACTGCTTGCATATACTACTAATGGAGTTGGGGATTAAAAATAAAATACTTATGTATGCATTTAGGCTTGAGAATTGGGCCAGTGCAAACTGCATGAGCTTCAGCAAGTCAAAATGCAAGGTCCTTCACCTGGGTCGGGCCAATCCTAGGCACAAATACAAACTGGGCACAGAGTGGGTTGAGAGTAGCCCTGAAGAGAAGGATTTGGGGGTGTTTATAGATGAGAAGCTCAACATGAGCCAGCAGTGCACTCATGCGGCCCAGAAGGCCAACCGCATCCTGGGATGTATCAAGAGAAGCGTGGTCAGCAGGTCAAGAGAGGTGATTCTCCCCCTCTATTCTGCTCTTGTGAGACCTCACCTTGAGTACTGCATCCAGTTCTGGTGTCCCCACCATAAGAGAGACATAGATTTGTTGGAGCGTGTTCAGAGGAGGGCCACAAAGATGATCCAGGGGCTGGAGCACCTCTGCTACGAGGACAGGTTGCGGGAGCTGGGATTGTTCACCCTTGAAAAAAGGAGACTTCGGGGGGACCTAATAGCTGCCTTCCAAAACCTGAGGGGAACTTACAGGAAGGCTGGGGAGGGACTTTTTACAAGAGTGTCCACTGATAGGACAAGGGGAAATGGGTTTAAGTTGAAGGAGAACAGATTTAGATTAGATCTTAGGAAGAAATTCTTCAGTACGAGGGTGGTGAGACTTTGGAATAAATTGCCCAGAGAAGTTGTGGATGCCCCCTCTCTGGAGGTGTTCAAGGCCAGGTTGGACGGTGCCTTGAGTAGCCTGGTCTAGTTGAGAGGTGTCCCTGCCCATGACAGGAAGGTTGGATTAGATGATCTCTGAGGTCCCTTCCAGCCTATACCATTCTATGATTTCTTGAATGCTATATTGAAAGTGTATTTATCACAAACATGCTTTAAATTATTCTAGGGAACATGCAGCCAACAATGTATCTTTCGCAACGGTGTTATTCCATGACCTGCTGTCACAGCTTGACGATCAATTTAGTAGATTCTTGATAGAAAACAACTTTTTGCTGCAACACAACATAAGGAAGAGCAAACGTAACCTTCAGGTATGCCTGGGGTATATGCCTGTGCATTTGTTTGAATTGCTTCAGCAGTGCAATTGGATGCCTCTAAACAAACTACCCGCCATGAGGTATTTTCATAGAGAATGTGTGAGAATCCTAATTTAAGAGCCAGAATTCAAGTGTTGCTCCATTTTGTTTTAATTGGCTACAATTAGAAAGTTAGTTTTGTTACCATTACAGTTTCAGTTTCTGAGAACTCTAGAAGAAAGTTGTAGTTTGTAAGGTATTCACTATACGTATATGGAGCACTCACTCGAATGTAGTTTCAGCTCACCCCACCCCCCCTCCCCAGCCAGTTTCCTCAGTGTCCTAACAAGCTTCTGTGATGCAGAAGAAACACAGAGGAAGAAGTCTTTCCCGTGTAACTGCAGAATTACAGTTAATAGCAAAGGACTTGTCATTAGATAGCACTTCTGTGCATAATATTGTACTGACAAAGAAAAGGACCAAAGCAACTGATAGTGAGTGGCAATGCAGAACGTCTGCTTAGTGGACTCAATTACTTTTGTTAGTCAGCCCTCTTCTCCTCCCTGTAGGGCTCTATGCCAGAGGATCTTCCATAGTCACCCTTCTCCACAGCCTATTTCCCATGCACCTAGCTTCTCCACAGCACAAGTCAGTGACTAGGGGAGCGTTTCAACTTCATATGCACGTAAAACAATAAGATTGGATTTGTATCCAGCCTTGACTGCGTGTTCATAAGTGGCAGCTAACATACCTCCTTGACATGACTGAACAGGAGCTGTACCTGTCAAAGTAGAACAATCACCCTTCAAAACCAGCAGCTGTACTTCAAAGGTGTGGGAGGGTGGCTCTCGAGAGAAGATGAGCTCTCTCAAGGACTGTAGGGTAGTATCTCAATTCTCCCAGCAATGTCTCTGACCCTTTCCTGTTGTTTTGTGTCCAATCTCTTCATGCACTAGTGAACTAAAACAAACTCATTCTTGGAGATGGTTGGACCTGTCACACTCTGTAGTGTTGGAGCATGCTATGACCACTGTGTGCCCCAAGGCTCAACACAGTCACCCGCTAACCTTTTTGCTGATAGTTTACTGAAGCACAAGCGACTATAAGTATGAACTTTAACAATAGGCTGTCTCTAATGCCAGGATAACTTCCAAGAAGACCCAATACACATGGCAATGATCATCTACAACTGCCTGAAAGAAGAGAGAAAAATACTGAACAGTGCCCAGTTGTCGAATCAGGTAACTTAGTCTTGGAATGTCTACTGCAGTTGTATCTGGCCTTTCCTATTATTTGAGAGGGATGGAGTAGAAGACTGAAAGGGGAAACAGGCTGTCCTCTCTTTATCCAAAACCATGTTTTTTAAAGACAGAAGAGTGAACAGTAACATGTACCAGCTGGACAACATGGCTTGTTTGTGCTGTATGAGGCATTTAGAGGGGAAATTACCAGAAAGTAATTTTTATTTCTTGCTTTTTTTAATGCCTTTGTGGTATAGCTTGATGTGCTCAATTACAATTTCATGATTAGTGCTTGCTTTATTTCTCCAACAGATTTTAGCATTTTTCTTCTGCATTTACTCAGTCTTGAGCAGCTGAGCCTTTGTGCTTCCCCATACTGTCTCTGGGGAAATAATACATCATTCTCCTTCCCAGTTATCTCCAAGTATTTATTTCTATTTTTTAAGTGAAGCCCATTTCTTTCCTCTGAACTATAGGCAAAGCCATATTCTTCTCCTTACTCATCTGTTCTGACTTTTCATCTTTTTGTTTTTTTTCCTTGGCAAGGAGAACTGTTTTGCAATAAAAGAAATTCTGCAGATGGGAAAGGCGTGCAAGCTATACAGCTAGATGTAATCCACTTACGTAGTAATAAAATGGTGACTAACCGAGCATGTTAAGTTCTGATACCGAAGTACTTCCCTTCAGAGCAAGTTTTCGAATGTGCGTTGTGGAGAGCAGGAAGAGCACTGAGGCACAGGCTTTCAACAAGGGCCCTAATGCATCTGTGTCCAAAACCAGCTCCTTTAAAAATATGACTGACAAAGCCATTCCCCGATGCCTTGTAGCTGTAGCACAGCTGTTCAGTTTCTGTTCTGGCCTATGATGTAAAGCACACACACACAGAGCTGTCTTTCCAGCATGCGATATATATTTGGGTCATCAAAAAGGGAAATAAGTCCTCCTGTACTTACTGTTAGCACACGTACAACACCATGCCCTACCTCTGCTTTCTGGTTCTCATTTCCCAAAGCTGAGAATGTAAAATGCAGAGAAAGCACAATTATAAGCATCATAAAAACCAAAGGAGAATCCATAGTGTTAGAGTATGCTTGGATTGCCTTAATGGTCTGACAAATCTATGATGGGGGACCTTTGCTAGTTTGCCAAAATAAATGCTTTCAATATCTTCAACTTGGCTTATGTTGAAGTGTCAGAGCAACAACACATACCTGACTGACATTAGAGGCACAGCAAGTTTCTAACACCAATAGTACTGCTAATGTGTGGACCAAAAAATCCTGTCTTCCAAATTACTGCAACTCTCTTTGACTGATGTCATGCAGTGAGCTTCCTGAGTGGTGTTGGGGTCAGCTTTCAAAGAAACTGTGCAGATATTTAAAGTGTGCTTGAATGCTCTCCAGGAAGAAGTTGCATACCCAGTTACCCCATTTGCCTGTACACAGACCTATCTTGTTCTTAGACTGTTTCTCTCCGTATCTTGTATGGATGAATCTAACCTTTAATATAGATGTCATCCAGCATGCAGAGTTGCTGATTTCTTCAAATAAATTTAGAAGATACGTGAAGATAAGCAAGCAAAGAGTGGATTTATGCAAAGAGAAAACAGAATGTGTTTATAGCTTTATATTGCTATGATGAAACAATGCAGCAGCATCACACAACAAGCATTTTTAATGCTGCCTTGTTTCTTGCCCAAGTCACTTGACCTTGATTTTATAGTATAAAACCTTAGTATGATTTATCGGAACAAGCCATGCTTCATCAAGCTGTTTGCCAACAAAAGCCACGAACTTACATTAATGAAAAAAGTATTTGCTGTCACGGGTCTCTCTGGTTTGACTTCTGTTGTTGTTCTGCTTGCCTCTCTCAGATGGAAGTGGGAAGCGTACAGAACACTGTGGTTGGGATGCTGGACAAACAGAAGGAGCTCGATACTAAAGTTAAGGCTGTAAAAAACAGCGTTATAGTAAGTATAGTACAACTGTTTAGAGTGGTGCTTGTTGATTCATGCATGTTGAAAAGCTTGCAGTACATAAAATAAGACTTTCTAAAGTGACAACTAGAAATAAGATAATAGTTTGTTTAACTCTTATCACCAGTGACTATTTGAAAATAGAAAGTAGTTATTTGTCAACAGCACTGTAACACAGATTGAGATTTGACTAGTTTAGCAAAATCAAATTTCTTGTGCTTGAGTTTTAACAACAAAAACATTTTACCCGACTTAAATACTAGCAACTGGGGAAGAACTCTTAAGAGATCATATATTGACTATTTTGTTGTTAACTTAAACATAGATTTTCAGTTAGCATATAGATGTTTATTGTCTTAACAGAAAGATTTTCTCCAATGCCTAAGAATTTGGAACAGCACACAGCGTTTTAAACAAACTTTCAAGTTTTTCCACTGTAGCCTAGGTTCACAGAATTCAGGAGAACTTATATAGCTAGACAACGATGGCTTTTCCATATTTTATAATTAACGGATTTTAGTTAGCTGAGAAGAGGAAGGAAGGGTGAATAGAAGGTGGTTAAGTTTAGGAGTGTTTCCTGTTAGGGAGTTCCAGGAAAAGGCATTGCTATAAAACTGGACTTCATCTCTAAATGGCTGGCACTAGGCAGTTGCTAATGAAAGTCTTGCATTACGTGAAGCTATTGAGTAATTGTGGCCACGCTCGTTTGTGCGTTACAGGACGTGGAACAAGACATCAAGACATTAGAGGATATGCAAGATGAATATGACTTCAAATGTAAAACCTTGCAGAACAGAGGTGAGTAGTTTATCAGGGACATACCCTATTGCATATAGTTTATAAGAGTAAACTGTTTTATGTCAGGAAACTAAACCTAACAATACGTAGCCAAACTTACTGATAATGTCCCTCCTTTATTAATTCTGCTTCATGCTGAAACCTAAATTCCTGAAAATGCATTCTCTGCATGTGTCTATTCTTACAGGAAGTAAGAGAGCCTCTTTGTTAACAGTGTTCCTTTGTCCTTTACATCCCTTTGCTATTAGAAACAGCAAACCTTATAGACTGTGACCATTCAACCATACATCTAAACAGTTAATTTTACGCTTCTCTTTGCTGTCTTGTATTTCACAAATGCCTTCCCTGCTTCAAGTTTTGTAGGCCCTTGTGTACTGAGGGAAGTCACACTGGTTTCAGTATATAGATCTGTCTCTCTTTTTGACTACTTTCTTCTAGAAAAGACTGTAGTCTCCAACACAAATTGGTAGTTGACTGTCCCTCGGAAGAGGGATATGTTCAGAAAATACTAAGGGGACCACTGAGCCATGATCTGGCTCTTTGTACTTGAGGGCAGGTAATGCTTCTGCGAGGCAGACAGGAACCTCTAACTTAGGGTCAGCAGGCAGCAGAGGTAGTAGCTAGGGTGACTGTGTAAGATCTGTCAGCCTCTGCTACCCTCAGGAGGCTGTACACAGACTCCCTTGAAATAACAGTTAACTTCTGTTGCCAGGCTAAGTAACGCGAGTGATTCATGTCTGAAGTCAGCATGAGAACAAATTGCTCTGTGTGCGTCTTTACACAATATAATCATCATGTTAAATCAGGTTCTTGATCTGAAAAGCAAGCAAACTCATGTCTCAATTACTTCACTGAGATAGTGGCTTTTCCTTGCATTAGTGCTTTAAGTGTAAACTCTGTCCTTTCAGAAGGGGCAAAGAAGGAGTCATAAAAAAAGTCTAGGAGGCAGTAAACATTTCCTCCCTTAAGCTTCAAAGATATATTTCACTTGACATTAGCCAGGCAAGTCCTCTCTTCCCCTCAGTGTTTCCCCCACCCGTACTTCTCACAAAGGCATGACCTGTTGCCTTCTTTCAGCATCACCTTCACAATCTGGACTTATTTTACAGAGCATGAGCCCAACAGTGTGTCACAGGAGGAATTTAAGAAAGAACAGATGAATCTCAAGAAGATGTTTTTGTCACTTGACCTCAAGAGAAAGGTAGTGCTCTAGTTTTCTTTCAGAAGGCGACCGCT